TCCCTCTATTGTACTAAGACCCGCCCATTCTCTTGCCATAAAAGAAAATATTCTCACAAACCTGGCCGAATTTAGCTGTGAAAGGGTCTAAAAAAATCAAAGACAATGCAGTAGTCGAATTCGAAATACGAGATTCGAAATTCGAGTTTCGAGATTTAATATCCAGATTAACCAATCAAAAGCGGGGTCAACTATTGATTACTTCCCTTTATTATGATTTTACTATCAAGAAATCGTTTAACATATTTACAACACATGAGTCATTTGATTAAATTACAATGTAAGAAAGAGTATTATATATATTAGCAGGAAATTTAAATAATCATTGGGCTTTTTATCAGCAAGGTATACTTCAATTTATATTAAGCTTCTAAAATATTAAATAGAATACATACCGGTATGTCAGGAGTATATACATTTTTGTGTTATCTACTTTGTATCAGGGGTTGTTGACATATAAATAAAGTTATAAATAAGTGTCAAGTTTCTAAAGATTAACAAAACCCCCACCCCTACCCACCCAACCTGCTTATTTTTCCAAACACACTGAAAATGTCACTTTGTAAAACTTGAAAGGCGACGTAGTATTGAAAAACAAAAATTGCGAACGTATTCCTGATAGAGGAAATGCTTGAAAATTAAGTATTTAATTACGTATCTTCACCTAAGGCTTTGATTTCTTGAAATAATTAAGAATTAAATATACAATACAGATTGGCAATATGAATTAAAATAAATGTGGCATTTATTTTCTCGTATATGAATAGTAGATGAGTCTGAATTAGATGCAGATCTATAGCGTTATGGTTTTGAATTTTAGTCTCTGACCATACCGTTTTGACCAAAGACTAGAATATACTTGTGAAACCTTATAACGCTACAGTTCGATTCAGCAGCCAAGCCTCTCTGCACAAATGCACCTTTTATAAATGTAATGAAATATCTACCCTTGAATACAGTAACTGTGCAGAGACGATTCATAATACTAGTATTTTATATCTAATTATAATCAAGTTTAATATTCTGCCTCAGCAATGATGTGATTTTTCATAATGTAATCTAAATTTTATTTTTGATTTCGTTTTAATTCATAAAACATTTTTTCTTGCATAATCATTTAAGCAAATGACCCATTTGTTATAAATATATTCAACGATTTCTTGATAACAAAAACATAACAAAGGGGAGTAATCAAATGTTGAATCCGCCTTTGATTGGTTAGTTTGGATCTTGAATTTCAAAACTCGAATTTCGAATCTCGAATTTCGAATCTCGAATGAGCCTTCTGGGCTTTCGTACAACCAGGACTGACGCAGCTGACTGACGCCAAGAAACAGGAATATTAATATGTTAATGTCACTGTAGGTTTAATTTAAAAATCGCTCATATCTCGATGTTCATAATCTGAGGCAAATCAGCTCCGTTGGTATTGTTGTGATAGGAAAAAGAAATGTACCTCAAACTCTACCCTTATAAGCATCAAATTCACATTTTTACATCCTATATTCTCGGCTTCGCCTCAGTCAATATGAATATTTTTCTATTGAATAACAAATCATATTCAAAACCTAAAGAGTCCATAATTATATAATGTTTTGAATTAAATTTTTACTAATTTTATTAATTAATAATTCTTCCCAAAAGAGTATTAATATGCCCGAACATATATTTTTAGACTGTACAGTTTCAGATTTTTTTAAAAAATGAGTATGATGTGTAAAGGTCCATTAAATTTAAATTGAAGAGAAAAATTGATTTAAACCGCGGGAAGTTTGTTTAATTGAGTAATATGACCATATTACATGTATATTGACTTTATGAAAATATCTTGAAACTGGAAAAATGTAATTCCCTTTTTTTTATATTGGACAAAAGACTGGAAATACATGTAAAATGGACCAAATTTTTCTTATAAAATTACACTGTAGATAAATTAACTATCCATTCTTTTTAAACACATGTATGTATTAGTTCCAAGTTGCGACAAAAATTTGTAGCACTAATGTTTGTATTCTGTTTGCCTTCACATATTCAATTTGTGAATGTTTTCTTATTAGCAGGATAAATAATAATGTTTAGAATTATCCCAAGCAAAGAAGTGACGTTGCATGTATCGTTTTTGAAAGAGACGGGGAGGTGGGGGGGGGGGGCAAACCAGTTAAAAAGACTAGCTATCAAAATCAAAAATGACAAACAAAAAAAACGGAAAATGTCTCCTAACGCGAAAATCCTATATGACGTAAGGGGTTGTGTGGAGCTTGATTCCAATTATCTTTCATAGTCTTTTTCTTTTCAATCACCGAATCTCCATATGCATGATATGGCTACATTATATTATAAAGGGGCCGGGAGCAAATCAATCTTTCAACTAACAATACCGTGGGTAAATCCTTAATCCCTTCACCCCATCCCATCCCGCCCCTTTCCGCTCCACCCCAATACTACATGTAAATGACAAAGTAAGGAATAAGAGAGTAGGTTGAATAACCCTTTACATGTCTTGTATTTGCTAAATTAATGTTTCCCTCATACGCCAAACGAATTACAAGGTGCAAGCAAACCAATGGATACATTCTATAATTAGAGATAACTTCATCGTAAAAGGAGGCAATGTTGATTTCATGTAGCATGTATGATTTGGCTATATGACATTAAAAGTATATTACAAAAAAAATTAATCAAATCTTAACTGAAATGGTGAAATTTTAAACTTCAATTTTAACCATTCTTGTAGAAGTAATCAAACGAGCGTTTCACAAGAGAAAGATGCGAGTGGATTTTAATATGTTTTTTTCTTAAAACTCTAATGATAATTTATTTTTCTTTTATATCTTAAAAAAGAAATTTCGAGCATTTCATGATTGAAAAAACTCAGTCCTTTAAGGCCCTTTCACAATTGGCTCACGAGCAGAAGCGACAAAATATTCGTGCGACCGAAAATCTTTGATATGGATCATAAACTGTTGCTGAAATACCGGTAATTGCATATGAAAAAGAATTCGTACAAAATTCGCACGATCTTAAGCAACCATTTGGCATTAAATCTTTTATCTTGCTTCTATGTATATGCAACTGTTGTACAATGAAAGCAAGCGAATGGATCGCGCGATCGAGTGATCAGGTGATCGGACGATTGAACGTGCACCAATGCGATTGGACGTAAGGCGCTGGTGCTATCATGCGTTTAATGGTACGAATGATAGTGCGAGTGAAAAGGGGAATATATATACATGTATACTACCAGTTTCCGACCCTCGTCAGTCGAATGCAAGAGATACCACCCAACAAATGACAAAAGCTACAGGTAAAGCCAAGGGGGAGGAGGCCCAGGACCTGCCGCAGCAGCCAAGCCCTGTCATAATCCGCCTGAGCTTGTCGTCGAGGGGGAAGAGCAACTAGACCAGCCAGTTAAGCCTTAAGAACCTGATGAGTACAGTGTGAATGAGGACGAGGAAGATCCTAGCAAACAGAAATTCTTGAACCTGACTCAAAGCAGAAACAAGAGCTGCTCCGATTTTTTTTCAAAGAAAACTCCTGCTTCTATGATAAAAGTCTTTTTAAAAAATCAAGAAAAAAAATGCCTGATTCAGGAAAAGGCAGCAGCTATGAATTTGACTGGTGCGTATATCAAAATAATATTATAGAAAATTTTATTTGATTTTTTTTATATATTCTATTGCTGAATATTTTAAATTCTTAATGTTAACCAATTCTGGTATTTGTTTCTTTTCAGTAGCAGACATCCGGCTCTGGTATAAATCCGAGCAGACCATCCTGGGCAAGGTCCAAAAAAAGAAGAGTGGCCAGAAAAGATGAAACCTTACAGCCAGGCAGAAGTGGGTGGAAAGAAACTTATAAGCTTCGTGAGAAGGCACATAGTGCACCGGCCACAGGGATCCCAGCTCTGACAAGTACCAGCTGATAAAGATTACGAAGATAGTGAGCCCTCCTCGTCGGTTACACAGGCACCCACCAAGAAGAAGCAGAGAAAGAAGAAGGACTTCCATACAGCAATCCTGGACCTGCTGGAGAAGACTGACAGGCAGACGGTTGACCTGACTGCAAAAGTCGACGCAGCAATGAGCCACAGTAGCCACGAGAGGCAGGCTAGTTCTGGGTGAACTGGATGTTGCAAGCCCTCCAGCACCTTCCTCGACATCTATGGCGGGACTTCACGAAAGAGTCGTTCGCCCTCGTCAGCAGGTACCAAGACAGGGCGGAGAATGAGCAGCAGGAATACTTCGCACTACATTCCCTGCATCAACCATACAGACCCCTGATGGTTCCGTTCAGATCAGCGTCAGTGCCCGCCCAATGGCCTCAAACAGTTGCAGCCCAAACCTCAGATGTACAACCAGTTTTCATGTATCCCCAGGTTTCAGATTTTTTTGCCGCCGCCGCCCGTACCCTGAATGAGCGATAAGTGAAGTCTAAGCAACAGCAGAAGATTTCGATTTCGTACATGTATATGAATGTAACATTAATAGAGAATTTGTAAAAAAAAAAAGATGTGCATAAAGATGTAACTAATCAAAAATACATGTAAAAATAACATGTCACATTTTAAAATAATTTAATTCTGGTTGTAATTCACTTTATGATTGTCTGAAAAATTAGCTGATACTGTATAACCAGGGTTATATACGTCACTATATGCTATCAAAAGTATATTTTATTGATGTACATTTACATCTTTACTTGAAGAACTCTCTCTCTCTCTCTCTCTCTCTCTCTCTCTCTCATATATATATATATATATATATATATATATATATATATATATATATATATATATATATATATATATATATATATATATATACATTATCAATATCACAGTTTATATCATATTACGCCTTCAAGGCAAGCTCCCGACGTTGCTGTTGTAGTAATGATTCAGGTAGGTTCGGATTCTCTTGCCATCCCCATTTGGCAAGTTACCTCTGCCAACTGCTTCCACATCTCGTAGAACACTGTCTCCATGCTCCGGCGATGTGGTTTCAAGCTTCAAATTTATCTTCCTGATCCAGGTCGTTGTTCTGCAAGCCAGGATGGCAGAGTCTCATCAGATTGTGCAGGCATATGGCAGTCAAGGCGATGATCTTGGCCCGGTCTGGATCCTGCTGAATCGTGCCCAGCATGCATTTCCAGCATTGTGCTAGGATGCCAAAGATATTTTCCACCACACGACGAGCCTTAGACAGACGATAGTTAAAGATCCTTTCTTTGTTAGTTATGTTGCGGTTGGAGTAGGGCTTTATCATCCAGGACCTGAGAGGAAATGCGTCGTCTCCTACCAAAAAGTACGGGATGGGTCTGTCATCATGTGGCAGGGGCTCTGGAACTGGCAGGCCAAGAGTGTCATTTTCCAATCCATTTCTCAGTGGGCCATGGTTGAAGATCTGGACGTCTGATGAAAAGCTTTGAGTACCAACGTCGGCCCAAATAAACTTGTAATCGGCGTCGACTAAGGCCAGGAAGATGATGCTGAAAAACCCTTTGTAGTTGTAGTAGAGGGTACCAGACCGACATGGGTTTCTTATGGCAACATCTTTCACCATATTTCTGTGCCATTCCTCGCCACTCATCTGGGTTAGTTAGAAAGGCAAACCCTTCGTCTTCATACTCGCCAACGATGGCCTGGCACACCTCTGGGATGAACAATTAGATGGTGTTGTGGGCAACACGGAAGGAATACTGGAGGTTCTTGTTCACTTTTCTGGATTCTTGGAGTAATGCGCTGCAATAGCTCGTAAAACTGGTGGCATTCTCATGTAGTTCAAAACGTCCCCTTGGCATTCTCTCTCTTTCTCCGTCATCAATGTTTCATACCGGCCAAATAGCATGCACCTCTCAATCTATGGCTTGACCCACCAACGTTTTCTATATCTTTCATGTCTTTGTCGACGACGAATAAGTAACGCCTGCACGACCATATGTCTTTGCTTGAGTTCATTTGGTCTGAAAAAGAGATGCTTATACAGGGTTTACATATACTAGTGGCAAAGCATGGGACATTGAAGCTGATAAATCGTGCATAGTAAAACGTCGCAAGATTACATGAGACACGTTAAAGCAACAGTCTCATGGTTGCACAACAAACGCATATAAAGCTGCGATTTATCTTTCGACCTTTAAAAATAGTGCATCACTCTTGCGAGCACACAAAACGTTGTAAGACGCTCGTGCTAATATTATATATATTATTTTCGTGCGTTGAATTGCGAGATATGTGGATCGCATTTGGTCGCGTTTGAATAGTGTGCAGGTCGACTATTTTGAGGAGACTTGATGCAACCACTAAAACGCATGCAACGAATGCGAAACATCGTGCTACGTATGCGAGAGCTCGGAGAGAACTGGTGCAAAACTAAAATTTTTCGATCGCAAGGTGTTGTAATGTGCTCGTGCGCCAATGTTGAAAGGACCTTTAATAATCCTTTATTTTTTCTGCAGTTTGGCATATTTCTTTAAAATTACTTCAGATTTGTATGCTCCGGTAGGTCGTACACATATTCTTGCTCCTGTTATTGCTCTCAATCCCATGTTTGTAGATTCCTAGGACTCTTTTATAAATTTAAAACAATAGATATTAGAGTGTATGTGGTTTAGCGCATTAAAAAGCATTTTCACAATCTGTTTGATACCAATATACGTCGTATCATATGCTTGTATCGTGACGGTTACAGGAATTTTTTATTTATGTTTTGTTTTAATTTACATCCAATTTTAGAGCAACCAAGCTGTACATGCACGATCTTCTTACAATATGTCCATGAATAAAATCATCTTGTCAAACAATTTTACCTGGTATCATAAGGACTTTCCTTTAAACTTGATATATATATTTGAGAACTTTTATTGTTGAGTATCTGAATAATTGAATATTAGATGAATACATTTGCCCTGGGATCCATTTTACAAAATCAAAGTACTCAGAAGTGCAGAGAACCGGGCTCATTAACAGAGTAGGATGAATTTCATACATGAATCACGTTTATATTCTGATGATATTTTAAAACTATCAATATAAATGATAGGACACTGACAGTGAGTTTTCAATCCTAGTACCACGGTCCGATTTTGTCAGAATCAGAATTAAACTGGTACCGAAGCTGAATGTAAACAAACAAGCCAGTCTGGTTCCCTCTGTAGAGAACTACGATAACACTGATTATCAAAAATCCTTATGTTCTTTGAATTAGGACTTAAGTTTTCAAAGTCATTACTATTAATGTTTATTTATATAAATAAAACGTCATTTTATTTTTGTTGCTTTATTTAGCGTTTGTATTAACTCAAAAGCGGTTGAGAGTAAGAACTATATTTTTGCACATAACTTTAAAATGGCGACTATTGGGTTGACTTCCTGCCTTGAACAGGATGACATAAGCCCGGCTTAGAACTTTCTTCTTTAAAAGCTAAAGTAAAATAGGACCTTTTTGGCCCTGACAATTTTGTAAAATCGAAACCACTCAGTTTTGGTTGAAAATACAATATTTTTCACATGGAACCTTGGTGAGCATGTCTCTTTGAAAATCACGCAATTTTCTCTCTAATCAATGTATTATGACGTCATAAAATGCGTCATTTCCCCCACATTTTCTAAATTCCTTTGAAAATGGGCAAAAATTAATTTTTTTCAATGTCTCAGAATATAAACGTGATTCATATATTTTCTGAAGATATGAGGAAAGGTCATTTTATATATGATGTCAACCCAGCTCTTTAGTTCAATGAAAAATAAAATCATATAAAATTTGTTGCATAAAAAATCTTTGAAAGCCCTTTAAAAGTATATGTATTAAAACCATTTTAAATAAATGTAAATAAAAAGTTCATAAACAAATTAACGACAAATTACTTTTTGCTCTTAGTCAGGCCCTGGGCTGAAACAGTCATGTGGTTGTGTTTATTTAGTTGGTTTTCTGTTGCATTATCAGATTAAAACAATGAATGGTTTCTTCCTTATAAGAAATCTTTAAGAAGATTTTTTATTAGCATGAATAACTTGATGGCATAGGATATTTCAACGCTAAACGTTCGTTTAAACATCTTAAACAATTTCAATTAAGTAGCCTTTTTAATGACCGTATAATGGCCAATAATGTCCAATATTTTAATTAAATATAATGTAATAAGTGTTATCGTCATTTATAAGAAAAAAAACGTACTTGTTTCTTTCATCTTAATTGTTTTTCTTCTTTCAGTTGAGACTCATAACATTTGGATTGACACAAATAACGCCGACAAATATTTAGATGTGGAAACAACTTCGGAATACAGAGTTGAAAGGCCATACAGACTCTTTCGTAATCGGGGGGAAAGTCGTGCTGAATATTCGATTAACATACCGTACAGGACCCCTGACCATGACATGAGGTTGACTATAAACCATTGCAGAACAACTGGTCAGGGGTCGGTCGACATTCTAGTAAATGACAAAATATTTCGTAAGGCTTATGGTGGCGCTCAGTGGAGACATTTTGAGGATCAGACTTTTACTATCCCTGTAGATTGGCTGAATGTCGGAACAAACTTACTCTCCATAAGACTAAATAAAGAAAGTCCAGGAGTGTACTGGTTATCTGATGCTATAATTGAGTACTGAAAATAACTTTTAATCGAAGACTGGCACATTTCTCCTAAAACTTCAAGGTGTATTTTATCAAATGTACACTTATACCAAGGAAACAGTTTAACATTACCGGTATCTCTGGCTGTACATTTTATCGATCTACAGAAATGAAATTGAACAGAATGGTCGTAATTGTTTCCCAAACAAAATTTAGAAATTTATTGTTTTTACTCGGTCTTCCGACTTCATGGATTATATTATTCTTCTTTATTTCTTGACATCAAAATTTTAATCATGCGATTTCTCCAAGACAATTACATGTAAATGGATTTGCACCAATTTCAGGAATTACGTGCTGAATATATAAACCGGATCAATCATGGAGAAAATATGAACATATACATCTGGTGCCCATTAACAAGTCATTTCCTGAATTCAAAATGACATTTTGTCCACGGCAAGGGACACCAATTACACACCTTCCGGGATTATAGACTGATGTATAATTTGTTTTTTTTTACCTGTTCTTTGTCTGCACTTCCAGTCCTTCACGAAAGTGCATGTACAGCTGATTTTTAGTCTTTTTTTTTTTTATTATATAATCAGGTTTAAAAGAAAATTATATTAGATTGTCAAAGGTATATTTTGTTTAAAAAATGATATAATCATATTCTAGATATAGATAAATAGTTTTGGTTCAAACTGATATCGATGAAAAAGCTTCAAAAGGTTCAACCTCACAGATTTTTGTTACATTTAAAGATTACTTAAATTTACGTTTTTATTTTCGATATGACGGTTTGAAAGAAAATTGTATTTATCTTTGTGAATGTCAAGAGCATTGTGGCTACATTTACACTTTATCTGATCAAAACTTCCAACTCAAAACTATTAATATTTTGTGTTTGGCAAGAATGAGAAGTTATAGCCTTGGCTTGCACAATAGTAATAAATTATTGTCACAAGTAATAGCTTATAAGAAAATCAGAGAAAAAAAAAAGAGAAGAAAACCTTTTTAAAGAGATGTTCATAAAATGGAAGACATATGTTTTTATAGTATTACTGAATCAATTTTTATCTATGCCACAGATACGTATGGACAGGACATCCCCCCCACCCCCACCCCCCACACCCCCGATATTCAACCACGGAGCTTCTTTGATTTTTTTTTTCTCAAAATTTATGTTTTTTACACTTATTCAACATGTTTGCAATAGGAATAAATAATGAAACCCCCAAAATAATCGCTCAAAAAAAAAATACTATACCATACATTATAAGAGAGAAAGGTAAGCAACTCCGGTTTGTTTACGTTGTACACCCACTGGTCTTTTGGGGTTTAAAAACATGTATTTAATCATTTTCACCTAAAATGTCAGTCCACACTGTCTCTACATATATTTCTGTCTCAGTCCATGCTATAGATTGACTCTGCTTCTAAGAATCCCACAATTTCTCCTTAAAATGCATTCCATTCAGAATATTGAAATTTCCTTAGGTAAACGCAGCGGAAGTGCATAGAGAATGTTTCACTTCTTACGATAACGTCCGAGAGAGTTTTTGCTTTTTTAGTCACTCTCGGGTGTTATCTTAATAGGTAATAGGCAGTAGGTAATTATTTAAGGTAGGATTCTTCTCTGGTTTCTGACTAGATGAAACATTAAAAGTATATTTGCTTATATGGCTTATATATTGAGGTGTAAGGAATTTAAAAGACCATGATATTTTTCTTTCCTCATCACAATTGTACAACTTTAGATAGAAATGGTCAACTGCGTTTGAAAACTAGCAAGGACTATATTTTTGGCGGAATGATGGCGTATGAAAATATCTTCTTTTCTGCCTCTCAAAATTATATTAATAGAACAATGAGTTTAGTAATAATTTTTACACAATCGAAGACTTGGAGAAACTTTGAAATGTAAGTTAGATTAATAATAAGGGATTAAGCTTTCAAAATATATCAAATAATATGATTTTTCAAACAAACTAGAACTTTATTAGCTTTTA